TCCTAGTTGCCACCCTACACTCTCTGACAGGATGTCCTAAGGGAGCATGCTGGGCTGACCTCCTATGCATGCCTGCATTTCTTGGTGGGGCTACAACATCCCAAGGGACAGAGCTGAAGCGTGACACGCTGTGCACAACACACGCAGCACTGGGGACACACACAGAGCTGACTGGAATCCCTGATCCCCAGCCACACTGCATCCCGGTGCAGCTTGGCAACTTCTGCCTTGCCTCTGCCCAACTCCTCCAGCCCACAGAGCACCTGTCTGAGGCAGAACCCCAGTGTCACCTGCTGCCTGTGGGATGTGCCATGACTCTCTCCCTATAGCTAGCCTTTTCAGGGCTTGCTTCCCCTCTAGTCCCTTCTCAGACCCTCTTAGGCTTGCATGATGCTCTCAGCTGGAATGAGGCAGCTCTGCCTCTATCTTCAGCTGAAGGCAGGAGCTTTCCACACAGCACTAATACCTGCCTTGCTGTCACTGTGCAGAGGAAGGGACTGCAGCATGGGTTGCAGGAGCTGCTGGGATATATTGTCCTGAGAGCTCCTGTCTGCCTCCTCCTCCCTGAGCAGCTCTTGCTCCTGCCAAGCACTCCCTCTGCAAACAAAGAGGGCTGCTCCCATGCTGCCTTCTCCCACTAGAGACCTGCCTTCCCTGCCATCCCACACCAAATGTATGTTCAAGGCTCAATAAACAAACAGGACAATATACAGAAAACCTCTTGTTCCAAAGGCCAAAATCTCTCCCACGCTTGCCACAGCAATGTGTGACATGTTCTTCCTACCTCCTGCCAGAAATCTTCAGGGCATTAAATGGAGACAGTCTGGCCCTTGGCATGTTAGCGGCTATCTGCTGCAGCAGTCTGGTCAGAGCCTCATTTTGGGCAGGCTCTTACATGTGAAGCAGGTACCAGAACTGTCTAGAGCAGAGACAGAGGTCTGCTGCCATGCTGGAGAAATGGCGATACCTCTGGTGGGGCTGTCACACAGCTTCCTCACCAGGACATGTAAAGGCAATATTGAGGTGGAAAGCACCTCGTGTATTACAGACTTTCCTGCAGAGCGAGCTGGAATAATTACCCTCCAGAGGAACCTTTGCAGCAGTCCAGTGCACTGTGGAGGATATGGCTAGGATATTCCAGCAGAGACACTCAGCTCCTCTGATCTCTGTAGGACTCATGCCGTAGTACCAGCAGAGACTGTGTGAGCTCCCTGACCCTGCACTGAGAGGAGACTCCTGGCTATGCTTCCTTCCTCTCCACCTCTGCCCCACGTAGCTCCAAGGGAGAAAGGCTAAAAATGCCTCCTTCCCTTTGTCTGCTGGGAACATGACTCTGCTGAGTATCTTCAAATCTGTCTTAGGAGCTAAAGGCAGGTGATTCTCATGGACTGGGGGAGTATGACACCCTGGAAGGGAGACAATCCTCCAGGCTGCACAGGTCTGAAGTGCTAATGCCATGTCCTCCCTTGCACAATATGAGAGGTTTGCACAAAACCTCAAGAGGCTTTAGAAATACAAGGGCAAGACACTTGCACTGATCTGGGTCTGAAATAAGCACAGCAAGGCTTTGTCTCAGGAGTGGCAGGCCAGGAAACAAACTGCACAGGCACTGGTCTGTCATTGGCATGCAGGTTCCTCTGCTGCTCCCCTCATGTCCCAGAGAGCAGCTTTTCTTTTTACTTCAGCATTCTGTACAGTTTGGCTTCTTACCGTCTGCTCGGGCTCTAATATCTCTTTGTCCGTGGCCACTGGCAGAGCCACTTGAGAAGCTGGCATCTGCCTCCGTCAGCAGGGAGACAGAGGCTTGCTCACCTGCCCCACGGCCACTGGGGACCTTCTCATTGGAGGTCGAGTCTTTGGTGGAACACAAAGCCTGGCTGTCCCCAAAAGCATGATTTAAACAGAAGCCCTCACAGCTCCGGTTCAGGCCGTGGATGAAGGGCATGGGTGGAAGACTCTGGCTGCGGCGGGCTCTTTCTTCAAGGAAGGCTGGGCAATCCTGCTGTGTCTCAGGGATAGGGGAGAACTCCAAGGAGGAATCAGCACTGGACCGGAGTGGTGGGGAGGTGCCGTTCTTTTTCCTGCCTTTAGCCAGTTCAGCAAAAGATGTCACTCGCTTTGGAGGGGAACTCTGGATGGGTATTGCTGGACTTTCACTCAGCTTGACCGGGCAGCTCACCATGCGCTCCAAGGAGCCCAGCCTGCTGCTAGGACTCCTGTCCAGGTTCTGGTCATAGCTCCTGGAGCGCTGTCGGCTTGTGTTGAGGTTCGGCGGTGACACATTCACGTACACCTGACCCTCAATCATGTTCTGTGTGGCTTCTCCCTTTGTCTCCTCTTCACTGCACTCCACATTTCTTCCTTCTTGTCTCACGTCAGGCCTTTTAAACAGGTAGTATTCAGTGGGCTGGGCTGGGCTACCTTTGGTATGGTCTTCCGAGCAGCTAGTTATGGAAGATCCTGCTGGGCTGGGGGATGACTGGGAAGACAAGTCACATGTGACTAACTTGTAATAATTCTGAGTAGCCACAACGAGCCGTGCTTGGCTCTGGAAGCAGGCAGTGAGGTCTGAGCTCTCCGAAGTGCAAGGCTCACAGTGGAGGTGGTAGGAGTTGCAGTTAGCATCAAGGACAGGTGAGGAGGGGTGTTGACACCCACACACGTTCCCCGAACTCTCTGGGTGATGTGACTCACAAGACATCTTGGATTCTGTGGGTGATGAATGCAAATCCAGGTAAAAAGCTCCTGTGTCTGAGTGGCTGCAGAAGGAAGAGTCACAGGACAGGTTGCCTGAATTCAGGTTAGATCGAGAATGGCCATTTGTTTTGTTGTAGAGAGTACTGAAGTTCACGAGCACCCCATCGGAGCTGTTGCAGGAAGAGTCACTGATGTAGCCCATCTGTTGGTCAATCACTTCAGATTGACTTGATGAACTGTGGCAGCGACAGTGCTGGAGCTCTGAGCTGGAACAGCTGCACGTCCGGCTGTGCAGAGCATCCTGATTCCTCAGCGATTCACTTGTGTTCTGGTTCCACTCCTGTTCACCACCATCAAAGGAGAAGCTGGAGGAGCTGCCGCGATGGCAGCTGCATTCATCCAGTTCCATGCGTTCTGAGGCCTGGTGGCACCGGTTCGTGTTGTTCCTCTTCTGGATGTCGTCACTGCTGATTTTGTCCTCTTGCCCGTCTACCACACCGGACCGGCTGGTCATGTTCCAAGATTTCACGATGTGGTTGGAGTCGTGGAGGTGGAAAGGGGGCAAGGCCAGCTCGTGCAGATGAAAGGGAGGTTTGCTAGCCACAAGTGAGTTGTGAAGATGGAAAGATTTTTGACCCAAGTCATCCCCAAAGATGCTGAGTTCTTCTGGAAAGGGTTGTGTCGTTTACTGACACTAGGGACAATGAAATCCCTCACTTTGCCTTCTTTGTTGTCTGAGGCCTCTGCTGAGGTTTCAGAGTTCTGAAGAAAGCTGCTGTACACCAAGGAATCAGTTTGTGAAAGGTCTCTGTCTGGAAGGGCAGAGGTCCGTGTAATGCTGTGTTCTGGCTGGCAGAAGGGGTTGGTCCTTTTGCTCACGGAGCAGCGCTGTCTATCAGGGACCTGGCAATGCACCAGGGGAATGTGATGGACAATCAGCGTCTCACCAGTCAGTTTAGGTGGACTATCCATGGTGAGGAACACTCTTCAGGACATCAGTTAAGCTGATGCTACCCATGGACAGGTAGGGCTGCACATGAGATGGAGGGAAGACCCTTCTCATGAGGAAATTCAGATACCTAGAGGGAGACAAAAAACACAAAGGAAGTCACCTCTCATGAAAGGCAGAGATGATTTAAAGCATTCTTGGTTTGACTGAAGACTTCTCGTGCCAACAAGGACCAAACAGAATGGTCCTTGACAGCCCAAGTACCCAAGCACAAGGTTCTGATTTGTCTTTCTTCAGGGAAAACACCACCATGTAAGAAAAACATGTCCCCCTCCCTGCAGACTCCTGGGACAACACTTGCACTTCCGACTGACCCCTCTCAAGCTTATCTGAAGCGAGCTATTGATTTCATTCAAGTAGCCAAAGAGCTACTTTGGGCCAAATGACGATCTTAGTGTGGACAGCACTGTATGCTTGCAGGAAAACATGCAGATAGCACAGGGTCTGAAATGAAGTGCCTCACTCTGATAGGAGCAGCCCATCTTCTCACAGTTCAATATCTTTGCCTGTCTTTAGGTACCTTGAACTTCTAAGAACCAAACACTGAACAGCACTGCCAGACCTTGCAACGTTAGAGGCACAAGTCCAAGCTGAGACTGGAAAGCAGGAACACACTGGAACAGGAAAGCAGCAACAACCATTCCACTCCAAAATCCAGGAACACCCATGAGTTCCTGAGCTCTTTTAATGGTGTCAGGGGAGCACGGTGAAGTATGAAACTACATACATATGCAAGGGCATCTCATGTGGAAAGGAGCAGATGACTTCAGTGGTGCGCCATGGGGAGCCACTGCTGATGGTTAAATAGGTCCCATACAGCATGGTGCCTTCTGCTGACCTTTTGCTAGTGGTTAAGCGTCAGCTAAAACTGGTGTGTTTTGTGGTTGGGGGTGCCCAGTTCATAGTTCTCTGACACTCTGATACATTATCTGTGGCACATATATCTTACCTACTGCCCTTCACAATAGTACGACCGCCACATCCCACAGGTGGGGCACTGAGTCCCAGTGCCTCAGTGTTCAGTAAATAGTAGGCTCTCATAAAACGAGAGGAAGACATTCACCAGCACTTGATATGGGAGAGCAGAGAATATATTCATTCCTCCTTCCCCATCCAACCCAGAGGCCCAACCTGCAAGTGCCAGGAGGGCTTCTCCCTCCTGCCTTCCCTTCTACACACTGAGAAGACAACGCAGAGGAGGGCATGGGAAGAAAGCTAAGGCAGCAAGGAGAGGGAGAAACCACAAAGGCAACAGTGATCCAGGATGATCCTGAGGGATTAAAGAATGACCTACTGCTCTCATAGCTACACTACTTGTCCTGAAAACCCTGCCCAAACACATTTGGTCAGCAATCATAGAATCATAGAATCACAGA